CATATTATTACTTATTTTGTGTGAAAAACTTCCATCATTTGTTTTAGGTAACCATGATCTTGAATGAAGTTCTGAGGCTGTATCCACCAGCACTGTGGATACTCCGCTCAATCTAGGAGGAGACAAAGGTAGGCGAAGTAACTCTGCCCCCAGGACCAGGTGTGGAGCTGATCAGAAATGCAATGCAGGTTCATAATGATCCTGAACTCTGGGGATAAGATGCAAAAGATTTCAACCCGGAGAGAGTGGCCAATGCTGCCAAGAAGCCGCCAAACTCGTTCCTCCCATTTGGCTTGGGCCCTCGCATTCGCATTGGCCAGAACTTTGCAATGATGTAAGCAAAGGAGGCAATTGCACTGATTCTTCAAAATTTCTCATTTGAGATATCTCCCATCTCATGCACATGCCCCTTTTCCTCAGCTAACTCTTCAAACTCGGTGTGGAGCTCCAATAATTCAAAGTAAGATAGATACAGAATTAGTATTTGCATTAACTGTTCAAGTCAAGATTTAGGACATCATGTGTTAGCCCTTCAAGATTCTTGAGAAGATTAGCATGAAAACTTGCTGAATTTACAACTGGAGCTCTTGAATAGTAGTAACATTAGCATTAATGTTCTTAATTGGGTATTTATGTCTGGCAGTTAGCATAAAACTCGAAAGCAACTGGGATTATCTCCGAATACTCTTTGGACAAATTTTTGCTCCAAGATCCTCAATGTCTTATACCCTCAGTCGCTACCCAATCAAATCCAAGTCCCCACGGGGGTACTTGCCACACCGAAGCTACTATGAGTAGAATGGAAAAGGGTATTGAGGGTGAAGGGCCAAATGATTTCTACTCAAATAAAAAAAAACCCAAAATGGAAAATATACACTATCTACAAAATAAACCAAAAAAAAAGGGAAAAAATTAATCAGACGAGGGAAGGAAAATATGAAGAAAAAAATGTAGGGCAGTTTCCCTGAATAAATACACGAGAGAAAACCGTGCATAATCCTTGAGGCTGCCCGCCACTTATACACATATATATCAATTAATCTAGGCCGGGTGAAATTGAGCTCCCGCACATTGGAATTTCGTTACTTTCCTCCGCGAGATCCCATTGGAACGGCCGCCAACCACCACCACCCCCACCCCAAAAAAAAATTTCCCACCAAAATTTCTTAGTATGAAGGAGAAAAAGAACAAACTGTTTGAATAAATAAATAAATAATTGTGAGACCTTTCCTGCAGTAGAAATTCATGGGAATTGCTAAAGAGATGAAGAAAGGGCTCTGAGAATATTTGGTGTATGCCCGCAACGGAACTCAAAGCGGCACCGGCTACACAAAAGCACGCTCGGTTCTCTCAAAAGGCAATCTTTAGATAATGAAAGCCCTAATTTGCTGTCAGGGCTGTGATTATATACAGGAGCGGAGCGGGGCGGATGCGTTGGAATTCTCAATTACGCCGTTTTCACCTAAGGCTCTGGTGGCCCAACTTATTTGGGCGGCCCAGCTCATTTCCTTCTTCTTTTCTCTCTCTCTCTCTCTCTCTTGTTTTCATTTTTTTTTTTTTATACTTTTTGGAACCCAATGTTATTGGGATCATTTTCAATCCAAGAGACCTTTAATAATAAAATTATGATGACTTTTTTTCCCTCTGTTTTGTAATAAAACTATTAGAGCCAAATTTTGATTGAAGCCCACAATTAATTTTGACCAGAATTTCTAAATTTCCACCCTAAAATGGAGTTTTGCTCTGGACTAATAAAAGTCTTGGCATTTGTATTTGTATTCGCCTGAACTATCCATTATCATGTGGGGCATTTGAGAACAAGCTGCACTTTTTCCTCCATTTATGAATGCTATTTTTCTCTTCTTGGTTACTCTCTCTCTCTCTCTCTGCGTATATATTATATGTGCGTTAAATTTTACAAAATCTACCTCTACTTCATGCTGAATTACCTTAGAGTCCGCAAACAAATAAATAGTTCTGCAGAAAGTGACATTTTGCGTCTGGCTACCTGAGTGGTACGTATCATTCTTCCTTTCATGAACTTTGTTTCCAGTCATCGTTACTATTATGTAAATACCCCAAATAATTGCATGGAAAGACTAAGCATAAAATACCCATCTTTTTCACCATATAATCCGCACTTTAGCAAGAAACCAAGATTAGTTCACACGCACAGCAATTTTAATTTACTTTTGATGAATTACAGTAGCATAAACTGATCATCATCAATCAGATTTCTCTAATCACAAGAATATCTATCATTCAAAGGTCGTCATCTCGTTGATTGCAGGACTAGGATTTGTGTGGAGCTGCAATTAATAATATTTTGAAATGCCACTGAAAGAATCAAAATGCTTGTATTGATTGTAACAATGAAGACGAGGCAGAATGCCGACACCATGCATGGCCCCGGCCAGCTTGCGACGCTGCTAGACTGAGCGTGGAAAGTGGAAACACGGACGAAGACGGCAAAAGTAAACCCAAAATATCGTTGACTTGCTGTTTGAGGTCTGTAAAAGAGAATTATTTTGAGATTTCAGGATCCCAAAATTTGCCGTGAGAGTTGATGTAGTATTCCACCTTTTTTTTTTCCTTTACGTATAAATAGATTTTAAACAATTCCTCGTTAATTTTTAATGGAATAAAACAGTGGCGGAGCAAGGAAAAATTCTCAGTAGGAGCAAAAACAATACTAAAATTTTTTCCTACTCCTTTTCTAGTTTTTTAAGCAAAAAAATATTTACCAATGAGTTGAAATGAAAAACCTTTTTTAAGTTTATTTCAAATGGAATTTTGTGGTTCACATATCCTTTTAGAATATTAGTTCATGAACCAACTTAGAGAACCACATAATTCTTTCATTTCTTTCATAAGAAAACTCCGGAGCACACTTAAACTTATATCAAAATTCTATAGATACTATAGGAATTTAAGGGGACAGTAGAGCCCATGCCCCAACCTTAAATCCACCACTGGAATAAAATTCCCTCCCTAATATATAACCCATCATATTTGTAATAAAAACCTTACAACCAGAATAGAATATTTGTGTTTACTCATCATAGTTCGCATGGATTAGATGTCTCTTTCTATTCATTTTCCTCTTCTTTTAAGCGTTAGAATTAACGTAATTGCATTCCCTTTTTTTTTTTTTTTTTTTAAAACTTCCACCCGTCCTCACAACCTTTCCCACCCTTAATTGCTAGATCTAAGAGTTCTAAACTTCAGGGTGGTAGATAGAACTCTAAGAGTTCTAGCTAATTCTAATTCTCTTTTATGTATTTTCTTTTGCAAAATTAACACTAACATAATTTCATTCAACATCTCATTTTATTCTATAATAAAATTTGTAATTTTATTCCTAAAATAAGATCTCAATATGGATATTACACAAGTACCATCATTAATGTCAAAAGAACATCCTAATTTTGAGCAGTAATGTTGTTATTATTTATTTAATGGGCAAAATGGCTCATTCCATCTCCCTTGAGCTTCTTCCATCCTACTTAACATCTTGAGAGGTTTGTATAACATAAAACTCCATATCTTTTGTTAGGTTTATGGAGAATTAACCTAAACTACAAAGCACTTGCTTAGTTGTGAAGGCAATGAAGAAACTCCGTGGAAAAAGACCGTAGTTTGGGCCACTGGGGCCAACGTTGTCTGCGTGACTTGTCAAAAGCAAGTAGGGCAGCCACCCCTACCTTTTATCGTTAAAGGGACATAGTCTCGACTCTGAAGTCCATTCCACTGGACAGGGTTTTGCCTGTTGGCCCGGTAGGCCTTTGGAGTCAGGGAATTAGGCCAACCGATTACTTGGGCTTGAATGGATCAAGTACTAGCTTTCCCAATGTTTAAGGCCTGCAAATTGCAAATTACTGTGAGTAGGATGTTGCTGTGCCTTTCAAATAGAGATCCGATAATTCTCGTTCAATCTTATTTATTTCATTCAAATGATGCAGAATATTAAGAAATTGCACAATTTTTGGCCCAATCCCAGAATATACAGGCAACATGCTCAAGCTAGAGACTCTGTAAGTTTGTTTTGCTTGGTGGCATTTGTGCAATTTTGTTGAACTATGTCATTGATAATCTCTGAACTGATTAGAAAGCTGATTGCATTGCAAGTGATATAGCCCTTTTTTTATACGAAAAAGTTTGACTGGATTCGATTCTGATCACCACCACGGATCAACACATCTGAACACACGATTTTCTTTTCTGTGAGCAAGTGACCCATTCTTACCAATCGAGCCTAACTTATGTTGGCGCAAGTGATATAGCATCATTGTTCCATTTGTTTCCAACGATTTAAATATTTTATGAACTAGCTTATACCAGAGGGCTAGTTTATTCCAGCTGAAATTATTTTACTTCATTAAGACTTGAACCTTTTGCTACTTGTATGTATACCAATTGAATGTGGTTTTCATTTTTTGCTCTATGATCAGTTCAAATACAAAAATGAAAAGCATTGGAGTAGAAGATCTACTGCTATTGCTTCTGGTTTTGGGTTTGTTGGGCAATGCTTTCACAGGGACCTCAGCTACAATAGTCCAATCCCAAATACTTTTCAAAGTTCGAACTTCAATAACCTGTAAGTCACTTGTTCTAAATTGAGTTTTGTTTGCAATATGTGAAACATGTTATTCTTTTCTTGAATAATCGGATAACGGCCTATACTATGGAACAAGCTAAATGCCGTTCTGTTTTGTGCAGCTTTCTGGCTTCTAATGCATTAAGCGGAGATATACCCATTTGGGAACTGGACAGCAGACAGAACATGCATGTTGGTACACATATCCTTGTTAATCGATGAGTTTTGGTTCTTTTCTGTTGTTAATCAATGAGCATTAACAGGAGATATGGATGTTTAGAATTTGTAATAGAAAATGATGAAAAAATCAATAGAAAACAAAAAATGATAAAAGATGCAAATAGTCTTCTTCGGTATCAAAACTTGAGTAACTGGAAAGTCATAAAATTTCAACATACAAACTTGGTTTAAAATTTGCAAGATCATATGGTAACAAATTTCAAAGAAGATCAACATAGTTAACAAGAATTCCATTGGCTGAGGCAGGATAATGTACTTGTACTTTAGCGAGATGAAAGTTCCAAGTTTAAATTCACTGCTGTCTAATTGAGATACATAGCCTATACCTTTCTCCTAACAAGAGGGACGAGGGGAAAAGGTGAAGAAATAAACAGTGAACAATGGACTCAGAAAGAGTGTTGCTGAGTATTAAGTATGAGGCTACCCTTTAGCGTACAATCACAAGGCAATTTCAGATCAGTCTGCCCGCCAATATGCCCCCAAGAAAGTGGAACTCGCTGGAATAAGAGCTCAAGTGATGGCTGGGAATCTTTTACAGCATACAACAGCTTCTCCTTGATAAAATCTATTCAACGGAGAAGCAACCAGCAGTCAAAACAGGATCCTCCTTGACCACCCCTTCACTTGGCTCGAACAAATTCCCGTAAAGAATGTAGAAGACAAGACGTCTAGATTTAGCCTTTAGTGTCAAAGATATATCCATTTATGCAATACGTTTAAGATTGTATTTTACAAATTCCTCCAGAGCAAGTCGGTAGGGACTAGACGGTAGGCATTGCAGATTTTGGATTGCGAGATCGCCTTTCTCTTTTGCCAACTCTTGTGCTCTCTCAATGCCTCCAGAGCTCTTTACCACATTAATGGCTTCCTCGAGAGATCCAGCTTCACAAAATTCAGATTCAATCATATCCCTTAGTTTTGACTCTTTCTCCAGTGCAAAAATTACTGGAGCAGTCAGATTTCCTTTTGCCAAGTCACTTCCTGCTGGTTTCCCCAGCTGCTCAGCAGATTGAGTAAAGTCCAATACATCATCAACAACTTGAAAGGATAGACCGAGGTTCTTGCCATATTGGTACATACTCTCACAAGCATCACTGTCAACCCCACTAAAAATGGCTGCACCTTTGGTGCTTGCAGAAATCAAGGAGGCTGTTTTGTAGTAACTCTTGATTAAGTACTCGTCAAGTTCAACATCACAGTCAAATAAGCTGGATGCCTGCTTTATTTCACCGCTTGCAAAGTCTTTAATAACCTGCCATAAAAGCCTCACTTAAGAGATGAGAAGAGCTTGAAGCATATGGTATTTAGATAAAGATCTTCACATGACCATGCAAGTCACAGACTATGTTCCAGAAGCTGGTGCTTGATTGACTCCTATTGTATGGTTACCAACTTTTAAATGGTCAACCGGATTTTATTTACCTGACTGATGAGCTTGATGACCTCAATGTTCTCAAGGTTAGCCAGGTACCATGATGATTGTGCAAACATGAAATCTCCAGCCAGCACAGCCACTCTAGTACCATATAATTGATGAACAGTTTCCTTCCCTGCAAAATATTTGTACATCTGAGAGGTTGTGGAAAAAGGGATGTATGAAATTTTGACAAGAAATAACCCCTATATCGGATGTTTATTTAATCATCGATATTAATGAAATACCACCAGAGAGTTTAAGTAGAACAAGTAATCCAGATTGACAATGTAGTTCTAAGTAGGAGTTGCAGAGACGACATAGACAGCTCCCTTTATTCTTGTATTAACAATGGATGTGCTACTGTACGAGGTCCTAAGCATTCAACTTCAGCAGCAGAAGCTCATAGGACTAGTGAGCAAAGCTCACTATACATAACCTACTGCAGCTTTCTCTTTGTGTACAGCAAAAAGTGGTTTATACTCTTTAGAAGGTTGCGCGGGAACAAAAGGAAGATAAAATAGAACCAGAATTGTGTACTTTAAGTGAAGATATTTGCACCAAACCAGAAAAACTATCATTCCATACAGGCAATAATTTAACCTACCTCTTCTCATGTCACTTTCATCTAACACATCATCATGAATCAAACTTGCCGTGTGGATCATTTCAATGATCTCACAGGATGAATGCTTTAACAGAAACAACCACATGAAGCTCACTTCAAACCAGCAATTTCAGCAGTGGCTCGTGACACTAAGAAAACTAGTGCAGGTCTCATCCTCTTGCCACCAGCACCAAAAATCTGCTTTGCAGCTGCCATCAAAACGGGGTTTTCTGCACCAACAATCTAAAAAATGACTCACATCAGAAAACAGTAATAATGAAGACAATGTAAGATGTCAAGGAAAACTTCATCTGCTAGTGCAAAACAAATTAGAACTTGAAGCACAACAGACAAAAAGAGATTGCTTAAATTACATCATTCATAATGTGGGACAAGCCATACTAGAAATAAATTTGATCTGAAGACCACAAATTAAAGAAGGAAAAAAAGACTAGCTTTAATTTCTCAGACAAGATGTCATGATGGAAGAATGGTTTTACAGCAGAAAACAAAGCACAACTACTGAATATTTGCTAGTTGACATGTACTACCAACTGCTGGAATTATAATTTAACAGCGACAATGAACTTTAACTCTGTCTGACTTGAAGCTAGAAAAGCTCATTTGATCTGCAGTTCTGAAAACTACAAATACACAATCCAATAGCCACTGTAATCAGCTCGCCCACTTCTGTAATAACAGCAGCAATAATGCCAGTAATCTAACTGTCCAAATTCATGCCACAAAATGCCACAGATCGTTACATCATGCTCGGCTCAACATCTATATATTAGTCAATGTCCTAGTGGCTAGTAGCTCTAGTGGATAGTAACAGTGCCATAAATGGGAATCACATCAGATTCACCTCAACTAAGAATAACTGCTTGGAGCTCATCACGGTGCTAAGTAATCCTGCAATCTCCAAAGCTAAGGTCATGATGGACAAGCTTTCCACCAATAGCACTGCTTTCCCAACTATTTGAACACGCGATTCTCATAAGCAATTGGCTTCTTTTCAACTATCAAACACAATTTCTACCAGTGCTTATCTGACATCACAATTTCTTCATGATCACTATAACAACTTGTAACCTTCACTTTCGCAAGAATCTTATCATCCTATCCATCATATATCTTTCTTTTCGTTGCCACCATACAGGCGTACTACTACTATAGCAGCTATAAATTCTACAAAACTACAACTTGAAAATTGATTCTCACGAATACTGTCATAACGATAACTTGCTAGGAAATGCGTGCAGAATAACGTCGTCAAAATATGAAATTTGAAATTTAAGTAAACAAGAGTCTACATAGGGCACTCACTGAAAGTAAATTTTTGTTCAATGTTTGAAGATCATCAGCAACAGCTTCAAACAAGTGTGGAAGTGAAATAGGGCTTGTCGACTCTCTCATCAAATCCAATGCTGGAGGAGGACCTGGAACCACGCCTGCAGTAAGATCGTAATTAAATTAAGCCATAGTCCCTAGAAGTTTTTGTGTGTGTGTGTGTGTTGTTGGGGGGTGGGGGGGGGTGTGTCGGTGGGTGGGTGGGCACAGTATTTCAATACACAAACAATTTGTTAATGGACTACCACTTCATTAGCCTAGTCAAGAAAGAGAAACACGTACCACCGAGTAAAGCCTCCGGGGTCTTAGTTGAGAAGACACGGCACCGGCCAACATCCCGGCGGCAACACTGCAATTTCCGAGCTTTATAGCCTCTATGGACACTTCTAAGCAATCCCTTTTTAGAATCCTTTACATGGAGCCTGTCAAATGATGAACTGGAAAAGCAACCACAAGCCACAAAATCCAACCTTGTCCTCACAAATTCAAGATTATGGCATGTCATTGACATCATCCTCAGCTCAATTTACTTGCTAAAACCACAAAATGTCCCCCAGAAATCAAGAACCCACTCCAGGGAATTGCTCAAATCATCATCTTCCCCAGACAAAAATCATCCTCAACTTAAGCAAGTTGAATACTTTGAATTGACCCGAGGCAGAAAAGAACTGATTTTGTTGTCAATTTGGCATTAAAGTTGGTATCTTTTTTGTTTTGAGAAAGAAGAGGAGTTGAAGTTGAAGTGGAAGTACGAAGTACAATCCAAAATTAGAGATGGGATTCGTGTTTTGCAAAAACACCAATGAATTGAGTGGATGAAATAATAATACCACAAAAAAATTGTTGCATTTGAATTTCTTGCACCCTTTAATTCTTTTTAGCGTTTCGTCTTTTCCTTTTGCCCTTTTGGACATAAAATTGAGATTACACGGATGTTAAAAGGTGGAGGCTGATGTTTGACAGTTTGAGGATACAAGACAGGAGGGAAATTGAGAGGCAATGAAAGGGGGAAAGATTGTGGACCTTATCTAAGCAAGTTTTAGTTTTGTGTCCCATGGCAATTGCTGACCTGTTGGTCTCACCAGAGCCAAGTACTAGCACAGTATCATTTGCTCATCTGATACCAAGATTCTGCCATGTGTGTGATTTCCATTGACCCATTTTTTAACTGGCTTGGCATGATGTGATTAAGTAAAAGTTACGTAGTTCAAGTATCATTACACAGTAATTACAAGAAAAGATTATCATTTTAGAAAGAAAAACATAAGTATCTTAATGATGAACGTCTAGAATAGCTCCTTTTAGAGGTAGACTCCTCCACCGAAATTGATATTGGAACTCATCTAATTAAAAGAACATATGATAACATCCCAGATTTGCTGATAAGCTTTTTGCCTGATTTAGTCCCATGTCCAACTAATTTATTGGACTCTCTTGTTGTGTAAGCATAGTAATGCGATGATTTACCTTCCTTTACTTTTGCAGTGAACTTTAAAAAAAATGTAAATAAATAGAGTGTAGCTTTCTTATGTGCTAAAATAAAAAAGTAGACTTCTCCTCTAGCTAGATTCGTGACATTTCACTAGTAATAACATTAATTAAAAAAAAAAGAGAAAATTGGTGAATTTTAAGATTTTTATATTCGTATCTATCATTTAGGTATATTTGTTTTTAAATTTGCTTTTTGCTGGTGAGCTCGTCACATAATTTTTGTATGAGGGACGTGCCTTTGTGTTTAGATGCAAAACCCTTTGGAATTTTGTAGAAAGCTTGTGAATATTTCAACAGCAGTAATCGTGTTTAGAATAGGGTAAATCAGTAGAAGTGAAAAACAAGTGAAAAAAAAAAAAAAAAAAAAAAAAACAAGTGAAACAGAATTAGGTATCGTACTGAAGGTGTCACAGTCTCGAGTTGCAGAAAACATTATTGCGATGAGACAATTGATTAACTCATTTCTATAATTGTACTGGATGATGTAAAATAATTTTTTTGTTTGGTTTTTTAATTCTTGGAAATAGACAAACCCATTTTATATCGTCTCCGTGAAGTTGAACTATCAACTTGAAAGATGCCTACTAAAATTTTGGTTCTCATAACTGCAAGGCAATAATAAATCAATAATCGTCGACCTTTTCCTCTCTCTTTTTTTTTTCTCGCTTAGTTAAATAAATCATCACAGAAATGATTGGGCTCTGTGCTTTTCACATAATGAATCAAGTTCTTGAAACATTTTTCATGATTAGCAGCAAAAGCATTACAAGAATCGACTATAGTGTTCTTCCTCCTCAGTCATATCCCAACTTTCACTCATAGATGCAGTTGCCATAACCTGCAAATCCAAACGAAAACAAATAAATGTATATATATATATATATATTTAAAAAACACTACAATGAGCCCAGGTTTTAATGACTGCAGTATTATCAGATTTAAGATACAAGCAAAGTTCAGTTTTTTTTTTTTACTGCCCATGTGGTCAAAACCATTTTCAACAATCAAGCATTGTAGTTTATGCTAGTTGATATACTAGTCAATGCTAGAGATCAGGAGGGATGTTTTTCAGATGTACTAAACTTTATTGTAGCTGTGTAAGACTAAGAGTATATATTTAGTGCAATGAAAAGTTGTTGAATGTTTGAGGTATGCTGCAGAACTTACTTGGATCAGAAATGACAATGAGACCAGAGTTACCAAAATAGCAATTCCAATGGTTCCTGCCCCTGGATTGGTAATAGAGATTCATGGCTATGGAAGCATGATTTATGAGACTATCTGGAGAGGAACATGGGCAACCCTTCTGCAGAATCCTGCAATCTACCTGAGAGCAAGCGTAATTTATATTGTTTAATAGAGCTGCCTGATCTGATGAAGGTTTAGCCACGCACCAAGTTTTCTGCAATGAAGGAATGAATGCAAGATATCAGCATAAACAATACAGAAGATGCTAGGCCTCCTTCAGTTAATTGTTTGATTGATCTTAGTGTTACCTGTCCATTCACAATTGATGAATTGCAAACTGCAAGAGCAAAAAATACAATTAGCAAATGCAAATCTCATCCTTAGCCATTTAACTTTAGAATTCAGTGTTAACTTCCTAACCCAAACCAACTCCACACAAGGCCGGTTACATAATCAGGTAATAAAGATGCTGATAAAACAATCCCAAGCCAAATCCGAAATATGTTAAGGCATCATAAAAGTAGAAAAAGATGCAATACATCATCTTTCCAATAAGAGACAAAAGAGGAAAATGTTGGATTGACTTTGTGGTAAAAATGCAAAAAGGGGTGCTTTTGAATCAAGTATTGCAAGATACTTCAGCACAAACAGGACTCGAGCCCTTTGTCATCAGCCGAAATGATGTGTGCTGGGAAAGCAGCTACAATGTAGTACATCATACGGTAAGATATAAATGAGCTTTTTCACTTGTGAATGTGTATATCAAAGATCACTTGAGAACTGCTGCTGAAATCTAGGAGATACATACCTGAAATCAATGACAAGAGCAGGAAGAAAAGTGCGATAGCTGCTTTAGCCATACTGGTATTGAAACAGCAACAGAAAGAAAAGTGACTGTCAAGGCCTGTAGGTTTCACTGAAAAAATAGAGTGACAGCAAGATCTTTTTAAGGAGAAGAAAAGGCAGCTGAGAGCTAATTAACGGCTATATTCACTTTAGGAGCCGTTACCTACGGAATAATGGATTGTGGTGGAAATGGGACCAGAAAAGTACCATCTGAGAGGACCAATATGCAATGTGACTGCTGACTCTTTAATGTTGCCACTTTTCAGTTACTGTGACTTTCCATCTTTGCAGCATTTGCTCATTACAAGTCATCAAATTATATTGATGAGGAGGAGCTGAATTTTTGGTAAAAATTCTTCTTGTGTTATTGATCACATTGTAACAACTAAATGGTTATAAGATAATTTAAAATCTGCAAAAAAAAAAAAAAAAATTCCGATTACGAATTTGGGCTTTTTATTTGTTGGGCACATTTTAAGAATCAGAGAAACAAAAGACAAAATCTTACAGATGTCTTTGTTGAACATGATGATCCTGTATAACCTTTCTTGATTCTTTTCCTCAAGTAGTTGATATGGTGTAGCTGGTGTAACCGAATATTTTCCTTCAAAAAGGAAAAGATGATTGATTTTTTCCCCATATAAAGAAAGAAAAGTTGAAAGGGGGAAGGGAAAAAGGACGGATCTTGTCTATACTATATACTTCACTGGCTCTTTTAATCCAAGACAGATGTCACAGATCATGTTAGTGGACACCACCAAGAAAGCACTACTGCTTCCCTTATTTCTAAAAAGTCGATTTATTTCGAGGAAATCAAGACAGATCTTGGGTACCAAATGCATCTTAAAGCTAGATTCAGGAACCAAACTGCATCTAGATTCCCCGTCCTTTGTCTAAGTAGCCCAGTAAAGGATTTTGTTTCTCTTGATTCTTGAACTTTTTAATTGTTTGCAACTTCTTGGAATATTTTGTCTAGGCACTTCGCAGACAATGCTGGAGGCCTGAACTCCTCCAAGTCCAAGACTGCAATTCTCAAGAGAAACTGGGATCCGCAACAAACGAATGAAATTTGAGTAGTTCAACTACTTGTCCCTCCAGCTGAGCATTTGTTAATTGTACAATAACAATTACTTACTTTGACTTTTCTACTGTTACAACACTTTTACTAAGCTATTCATCGAATGGATAATTGCGTAGTGATTTGCGGACAGTGCTTGTAGCTTGTCGGCAACTCACCAGCAACTGATGACCATCTTAAGTACTATCAAAATGCCCTCCAATATCAGTAATCTTCTTTCACCAATAATTGCATATATTGCCAAAATCTAGTTCAATTTGTAAAATTACTGCAAATTTCATAGCTTGGCATTCTCATGTCTCAGGCGACAACTGTCCCTTCTGTCTGATGTAAAAGCCCCACTTTTAGGATTTATGGCTCTGTTGTTTTATGACGATGGCCTTATCAATAAGCCAGCAAAATCTATGGGACCCAAATATTCGATGCATCTGACCTGCATTTTTTTTTTTCCCATCATTGGCTTTGCAATAGTATTATCATTATGGCTGTTACAAGAGTAGCTAGACTATGTATTATACCCGCAGAAGAATTACATTCCAGTTGTATTTTAGAAAATGGCTGCTGTAGCAGCAATTGCCCCTAACCTTTGGCGTTTATCACCAGCCAAAATCAAGTGCGATAGCACCCCTTGCGTCAGTCCAAGAACAGAATCAGCACTGAAACGGGAAAACCATCATCTCTTATCCAGATTTTGTACCCATCTTTCTATTCAGAAACATGGCAGTTTTCACTCTCACTTCTCACTCAAAGCTGCTTCATCTTCTTCAGGTAAACTAATTATTCGTGGGCACTACTTAGATTCTTTCTTGAATACAGCTTTTGTTTTCTTACCGTAATACTTCATCTCCTTTCTTGATCTTTCCGCTTCTTTCCAAGAATTCTGTCTGGATAAGAATTGAGAAATGCAACTCGAATTTATTCTTGATTGACGAAATCAAAAGCTGCTAAAAAGAACTGAAAACAGGAAGTAGGTAAGTAGAAAAGTAAAGTGGTCTATCTGGGAGTCAAGTCTTGGATTAGCTATAGATTGTGAGGTATGTAAAACCGCCAGTAGAATGGGTAGGTGACTAGCAAAACTGAGACTCGAGAAGATAAGAATGGATTATTGTCTGTGCTGCCAAAGCGTGCGGGACGATGGTAGCTTGGTTGAAGCACAGCATGTGCTTTCAAACAGCCAGTGCACAACAGACTAAAAGAAGAATGTCATAGGCAATCACCAAAAATTGGAGGAAAGAATACATTTTGGTGTTTTGAGGAAAGAAAGGAGAAGTGACCTGGCATTTTGAAGTCTTAAAATGTGTCTCTACTAACAATGCATAATTTACCGAGAGACTGCCAGAATTTTTGTTTCTTTTGGACCTTTTTTTAGTAGAAGGGAAAGGGGTGGGGCGGTGGGGGAACACCTCGCATACTTCTTTCCAATTTCTGTCAGTGACTTTTTAGTCTAAATTCATCACTGTTTTGTGAAATCACAGGAAAAGATATCTTATTTTCCTGTTTTTTCACACTTTGCAAACCCTGAATGTTTTATATGATTCCTGATGATTTATAGCTGGTTGAAAATACCATGTTGATGATATAACATTCATAGAAGATCTTAGTTTACTTACATTAGACATCCTTTAGGAGAGAATGCAGCAGCAAGTTTGCTTACTGCAGAAGATGGGCTATAAATCAAATACAAACGATGAAAATAGGTCATAGCATCATAATGTATCATCCTGCCTGAAATCTGACACTTTTACCATTGAGTTATGCTTTAGTTGAGAGTACAGAGTATACAGAGGAGCCTGCAACAAAAGTAAAGTTCCAAACGTCATTAAGCATTCCAGGCTGCTCCACCTCAATGCCATTAACTGGAACTGGTCAGTTTCTCAAACATCCTTTTAGTGCAAATTAAGGAGCTTGCTGCATGAACTTTGAAATGATTCCATTCAATTTGGGATTGTAGCTGCTGATTGAACAAATTATCTTCTGCAAATATTAAATTTATTGCAATAATGTCAAGATACAGGGAGAAAGTTTTTGCAGTCATTGGTGTCAAGGTGTATGCTGCTGGCCTATATGTGAATCAGTCAATTTTCACTAGGCTAGAGGCCTGGAAAGGGCAGTCTGCTGCAGATCTGCAACAGGATTCAGAATTCTTTGACACAATTTTTCAGGGTAATATTGACTAAAACTGTTTGCATTTATCAAATCTGATTGAACAAGGAAAGAGGGGAGAGGGAGAAGTAAATTAAGAAGCTTATATTGATTGGAAACTGCAGCTCCTTTGGAAAAATCTCTGCAAATTGTTCTGGTGAGAGATGTGGATGGTAAAACATTTTGGGATGCCTTAGATGAAGCCATCTCTCCAAGAATTAAATCGCCTACTCCAGTTGATACCTCTGCTCTTTCTACATTTAGTACTCTGTTTCAAGGGAGGCCTCTTAATAAGGGTACCATTATCTTGTTGACTTGGCTGGACTCTACCAAAATGCTTGTAAGTTGTATGTAGTAAAATTCAATTTTCCTGCATTTCTTTATATGCTGATGGCTTTTTGCTAAAGATGTGTTTCCTCTTTTCTCCTTAGTCTTAAGCTTCTGCTGTGCTATTTTCTTTCTTGTAAACACATCAGCTTGACTCTCTTAAAAAATCTGTAGGTTTCTGTATCAAGTGATGGGTTGCCATCTGGTGTTGACGCAACTATTGAGTCAACAAATGTGATATCAGCTCTTTTTGATGTATTTCTGGGAAGTGATTCAGTTTCTCCTACTCTTTAAGGCTTCAGTGACCAGTGGATTGACGGCATTGCTGAATGGCTGAAGTAAAGAAAACAAGAGAGATTTTCTGCTCAGTTGTTTTCATTCCTGACACTCAATGCTCATCATAGCTTTCTACATGAATGAACTGCTCTAAATCTTGTTTTGTACACTATGAACACTTTGGAAAGAGCATTGCTCCACTAATCTAATAACCAGAAATAAGAACCCTCCATCCTTTGGAAAGTTAGGCAATTGGCATTTCTTGCAAATCTGGTACGAATTGGTATGACTTTACTTGCTCTAGCATCTTGACAATTTCTGACATGGTAGGTCTCTTGGATGGCTCTGGTTCGAGGCACATCATTGCAATACTGAATACCTGGTTGACCTCTTCAACATGATAATCTTCTAACCTTCTGTCAATTACATATCCCTCCCTCTTCTCTTCAACAACTGCCTTTACCTGTAAAAGTGTGATATTGATATCAGTTATAAGGTAAATTTTCTCCAAACTCACAATTACTGGTATCTCAAACTTCAGAAGAGAGTCTATGATGAGAGACAGAGACAGGTTTATCATGTTTGTTTACCCGCTTGAATTCACTTAACAAATCATAAAACACAGAACAGTTAAAAGTCATACTACTGAGATCAGTATACCAAACATAACAGGTATATGCAATCTTAGTTTTCATAGAAGATTCCACTCTTGGTCGCATATGAGCATGTTAGTATCCGAATCACAAAGTGGGTGTTGGACCATCCTTTAAAAGTACCAGATGTTTTGTGATTACTTGTGATATGGTTCAATTCAAGGATATGTTCATGCACTGCAGCCTGTCAACTGAAGGTTCCCTTGTATGTAGTCGATAAGGGTCCTTCAGATTATCCTGTAAAAATAATATGCTAAAGGATTGGTGTTTAACATTTGATTCAAACTTTACCCAGGTTACGAGCTTCGTTCCCTCCTCGATGAATGTTTCATCATTTGGCTTTTTCCCTGTAAGAAGTTCCAGTAGAACTACACCGAAGCTATAGACATCTCCCTTTATGGTTGCTCTTCCTGTGTCAAAATATTCTGCAAAAGAGCATAAACTAGTAGTATAATTTTTTAAGTAGCACAAAATGCAGAAAAATTTCTGCTCTAACGTACGAGCAAGGAAAAATTAAAGCCAAATCTAGCATACCAGGAGCCAGATATCCAAATGTTCCAGCAACTAGTGTTGAAACATGAGTCTTATCAGGTTCCATCAATTTGGCTAATCCAAAATCAGATACTCGAGCCTCCAAATTCTGATCCAGCAATATATTGCTCGTTTTGATATCTCTATGTATAATGTGCGGTATACAATCATGATGAAGGTATGCCAGCCCTCTTGCAGCTCCTACTGCTATTTTGTACCTTGAAGTCCAGTCCAGAACCCTCTCGTTCGAAGATTTTCCTGCTCATTGAGTCATGATCTATAAGGCTAAATCAAGGACATTCAGAACTAACATTCAAGGACAAATTCATGCACAGTTGATTATTCTCAAGTTGTTTTGTTTTGCAGCAGTTGATTAAGCTGAAAATGGATGCAAATTTATACCATATAGCAGTCCATCCAGACTTCCATTAGGCATGAGCTCGTAGATGAGAAGATTATAGTTGGGAGCAGTATAATATCCGTGAAGAGTAACTATATTCCGATGCTTAATGTCCGCCATTGCCTCTAATTCTCTCTCGAAGCCTCGATCTTGTTCTGCACTTATCCTGTTGAGTCTTTTTACTGCAAAAGATACAGAATCATTTATGGACAGTTTGTAAACTGTCCCATAACCTCCTGATCCAATAATGTCCTTGTTGCTCAATTTCATGGTCTTGTTCAAGAACATATTAGTCTTTAGAGCTTTCATCTTCGGTGAACTGAACAAGACAAGTTTCCCACCTGCGTGCTCAGACATTAAAAGATGACCTTAGTACAAATTCAGGAGAACTAACCAGCAAAAAATAGTGCACTGGAATTAATATCTTACCTGAAAAACTGTCTTGAACAAGCATTTGTTTTCTCTTCCAGCGACGGTAGCAAAGAGTTGCTATAATTAGCTTTGAAGCAACAAAAGCGAGTACACATATTGTGATATACAATGCTAAGAAGTTGGCATTTGCCATTTAGCTAGTCCTTTTGGGCTTGTTCTTGATCAATGATAAATAATCAAGAGAAAAGAGTTCTAAAGAATCTTGCTGACGCTGGGTAAAAATCTCTTAGTAAGGGCTATAAGAAATAATCTGGAAGAATACCGTATCATCCAAAGACTGGTTTCGACCTGGTCATATTCACATCTGAATTGTCACTATTGCACTGAAACAGGGAACACTGGAGCTTGCTTGATTAGTTGAACTTTGACGAAAGAATTATAGATGTTTCAAGTGAAGTGATACTGTTGAGATTAGTAGTTTGACAATTCTAGATCAGAACAGTTTAGCAGAGTGAAGGGGACCAACACTGGTACACTTTTTTTGACATTTGAATCGCTTTTTCTTGGAATTTATGCGCACACGAGATGCCTGATTAATCAATCTGGTGATTGGGATTCAGAAATGAAAATTTGGGTAGTGATTTGCTGAGGACTTATTGGAAGAGCCATGAACCACGACAGCTCATTTGGACTCAATAATTCATGGATTTTCACGTACGACTTGGTAACATTTCCCATGATGCTGGATCTAAGTAACTAAATGCCAACCGACATCCAAAATTGTGGGCTTGAAAGTGGTCGGTTTGCTTTTCGAGGAATATTACTATTAAAAACTCAACCCTGACGGGAATTGTCTGATAAATGCAACCAAAACCAATTAAACCTGGTACAAGAGTGATAATATACTAACTACAGAAAGTTGAAGAAACGATCAAATAAATGAATCATGTGAACACTAACTGTCTTTACTGCATCCATGGATTGTGCACCAGCTGCCTGCTGCCCAGCCGGCCATCCCATTTCCGTGGAAGTTGAGAATTTATCAATCTTTTGTACTTTTACCTTTTCTGGAAACATGCAGCTCCTGATGTGAAAGCAACCAGCCAATTTTCTTGGCTTTCCTCCACAAAAGTCTCTTAAGCTCTACCAACCAAAGCAAGAATCATGTGAATTAAAAGAAAAAAAAAAAAGAAGATCCATACTCATCTGTAATGTGACATAGACATACTCCAAGAATATGGTCATGCACTGCAGTTATTCAATTTCTGGGCTTTCCTCCAAAAAAGTCCATCAAGCTAACCAACCAAAGCAATAATCATGTCAAATATATATATATAAGAGAAATAGATATTCATCTGTAGTGTTATAGACTCCAAGAGTTTATAGTCAGTCGTGCACCGTGACAACTCACAACAATTCCTTTTTTCCTGTGTCAAATTTTCTTCTTCAATGGAATAGATAGAAGAGTTTTTTGTTTGCTTTTTATAAAGTAGGAAAGGGGTAAAATTTAAGAAGCGTGGAACAGAAACGTAAGGGGTATTGATTTCAATATCTTAATTCCTAGAGTTTTAACCTAAATACTGATGATGTTAATTCCAAAGGGGACACCAATTACGAGAAGAAGAAACACATCTACCGCAACCGGAAGGCCACGGATGTCTATCCAAAGTAGAGATAATTATTAAAGAAATCTGATTGTAGCACTTCTAAGAAAACTTCAAGTTTTCAATCAGCTTTTAAATGAAGAGGATTCCAGTTACTCAGAATTTCTAGCTTAAAGAAGATATTCTCATAATTAATGATATGGAAGTGAGGCTTTCATGAGAATATATATTACTGCTGACAAGAAGGTTTTCCATCGTTCAAGAAAACTACATGCAATTGATGCCCTCACTTGAATTTGGCCCTTTAATTTTCTTAACGTATTCAGTAGATAAAAACATACAACTGGAAGACAGACGTTTACTTCCAGTGGATCTTACCTTCCTGCAGTATGACTAATTTGCCTCTTTCATTGTTTCAGTCATTAATTGTTAAAATTGTACACTAATTACTGATGAACGCGTGAACGGATTTTGCAAATGCACATTACAAGGGGAAGTGAAGATGATCGTACTTTTAAAGTCATACAAGTAAAGATGATCGTGACAGGTTAGCAGAACCAAATGTGTATACCATGGGTGGAACCTTCAACCTCAATCAGGTGTGTCTCCGCATGGCGATTCTCTTGCCAAACTTTTCTAAAACTATCGCAACTCTTCAACATCCAATCACCTCTTTTATGGTCATTAAAAACCCATACATATCTCCAAATATTGTCCGTCGTGTATAGTATAGACGAGACATTTTCCCTGGCATCGACCCAATCTGGGAGACCAAAGGGCCACATACCTAGAATGGAATATCCCGTTCACAGTTAGTGTAATGGTCCGATAACCAAAGAGCCAAAGCCCTTGAACCCCCGCCAAGCAGAGGCAACAATTCAAGGGATCCATGCGCAGGGTCATAAGCCACTTGCTTGTGAGATAGTCGATCTTTCCAAAATACGACATTTCCAAGCACAATAGTTGTTGCGCAATCAATTTCCAAAGCAGATAGAGGTTCAATAGTAAGAGAAGCCGCCTTCCATTTACCACTCCAAAAAGAAAATGTTCTACCTCTAGTAGTGTGGTCGATGCCTTAGGCCTTAGGGTCTAACACCCCTAGGTAACGGAGGCAGAGAGACTTGGGGTGAGGCGGAGGTAGAGACTTGGGGTCGAGCTCGAGTAATACTATATTTGAGCTCAGCTCGAACAGTGCTGGCATCCTACTTGACTAGAGTTTGAGCTCGATCAAGTTGGGAAATAGAGAATTGAACTCGACTCGAAAAAAATGTTAAAAAACTTTTTAACATTTAATTGAGAGGGTTATGTTTAAAAAACCCTAACCCTCTCAATTATAAATCGCCCTCTCAACTCATATTTTTACTCACTCTACATCCTTTTCCGTAAGGCTGTAAACGAGTCGAGTCAAGTCGAACTTTGATCTAATCAAATAGAGTCTTGATTTAGTTTTATCAAGCTCAAACTCGATGAGTTGCCAATTTAAAGCTCGAGCTCGACTCGAATTCGAGTTGAGTTCAAACTTGAGCTCGTGTTCGAGCTCGAAAAAATTTTAAAAAAATTTATTTTTAAAAAATAAATAAAATAATATTTTTTGCTTAATAAATAATAAAATATCGGAAATATATATGTAATTTTACTATTAAAATAAAAAATATATATACTCGAACTCGCTAACTTAATATTTTTGAACTCGAGTTCGATTTAACCAACTTAAACTCGAACTCGATGTCGATATTGATCGAACTTGAATTGAGCTTTGATTTGAGTCACTCACGAGCGAGTCGATTCGTTTGCAGTCCTATTTTCCCGAACCATTGTATCATTTTCTAGACCTTTTTAACCAAATTCAAGGGTAAAATCATGATTAATGGAAAAATCAAATTTAAGGTGTACATTGCACAAAATTCTACCATCTTTACAATTTTTTTCATAAATAGCCATTCAAGATATCTTTTAAAATAGGACAAAAAACCTCTGCGGCCATTAAACTATTGGCGAGATCATGTTTTGGCCATCGAACTATTTTTTGTCAATAATTGGCCACTAAACAATTTAATCCGTTAATTCGTGACCATTTCGTCGTTAATTGCTCTTAAGTTCTGAAATTAGCATTACACGTCGTGACCATTTCGTCGTTAATTGCTCTTAAGTTCTGAAATTAGCATTACACGTGACAATGTCCGGGCAATTTTGTCCAGCAATTTACTGACCCTAAAAGTCCAATACGGCTAATTTCAGAAATGTAGAGGAGTTGATGGACCTTCAGCATCTTCCACCGAGTCGCCAGCCAAACCCCAAGTCGCATCCCTCAGCGTTCCTCGCACCGCTGCCAGAGGAACCGCCACCACCCGCCGGAAGGCCACCGTGACGGTCCAAGAAGATGAATCCGAAACTACTTCACACCCTTCCACCAGGACTCGCCGTTCAACCAGAGGACTGCCGGTTGCTGCAGCCGGAGGAGACGTCCCCAAACTCCGCTCCCGCCTAAGCAAATGAAAGATACGCTTGCCTGCTTGCTTCGAAGAAAAGTTGATATCTAATGCTTTCAAGCTGCAAAAGGTGAAGCATCGAAGCAAAGCAAACCAAACTGCCCCAAAATTCCCTAAAAAAGATTCTTGCCACTTATAACTAATCTGATGTACATGAGATATTTGATATATTGTTTGGGAGGGTGTCCTGAAATATTGGAGATTTAATTTTGAGAAGGGAGCCCAAGCTCAAGAGTTCAAGACTCCGACTTTCTCTATTTCTCTCCCATACGGCACTAGCTGTTGCCTGGAACTAGAAGATATGGGCACTTTGAGTACCAGTCCTCTGCTTCTAAAAGACCCAAGGCCTTCTTCACTCTACAGAGAACACCGAAGCTCTGTTCTTGTGTACACAACAAGAAGAAGAAAATCCAAGAAAAGCCAATCCTTGAACCCTGTAAGTCTTACCACTATCACGTTCTGAATTAAAATTCTTAACTTTATAAACAAAGATCAAAAAGGGGCTCTCTTTCTGTTTTTTTTTTATGTATTTTAATTATGGTGAGTTTTGGATCAGGTTGCCAGGTTATTTGGACCTGCTATTTTTGAAGCATAGAAGTTGCAGGTTGTTTTCTTAGGAGTTGACGAGGAGAAGCACCCAGGACAGCTACCTAGAGCCTATACATTTACGCATAGTGATGTAACCTCAAAGCTCACCGGACAAAATTGCCCCCAACATTGCCACGTGTAATGCTAATTTCAAAACTTAAGAGCAATTAACGACGAAATGGTCACGGGTAACGGATTAAATTGTTTAGTGGCCAATTATTGACAAAAAATAGTTCGATGACCAAAATATGATCTTGCCAATAGTTTAATGGCTGCTGAGTTTTTTATCCTTTAAAATAAATTTTAAAACCAATACTCCCACAAAAACCATCAAAAAAACACCCTTTTTAAAAAATTTTTTAAAATAATACTCCCAAAACCCCTAACTCGTATGCCCATTTTTGTTCCTTATTTTTAGGAACATTTAACGATTTAGTAACTATTTATTAGTAATCACATTCATTGCTTTTTTGACTTAATTTGCATCAACTAGAAACCTTACGTCTAAAACATTTCCTTCAACCACAAATTCATACCCTTTAAGTGGGCTATAAATAATACTAGTCATCAACAGTTCAAGCCCATAATCATCACTGACTAAATAAAAAAGAAAAGAATCTCCTCATTTTCCAGATAATAATTGACATCATTAAGTTGGTCAGGAAAAGAACACATTGCTCTCAGAATAAAAGGATTTTCATATTCTTTCCCCCGCGAAGCTTTTCTTTTTCATAAGCAACATTATAGTCAATCCCAAGTGAACAAAAAAATTTATATTGCATCATTTGGCAATGTACCAATGCTCCGTTCAAAGCCATATCTCAGCCTGTTACAAAATTTAATTTCATCCGCTCCTTAATGACAATACTACACTCATTTTAATCAGCTAAAAGGAAACCAAGACTGATACTTTTCATCGGCATTCTAAAAACTGTTGTAAACAATTTTGGAAAAAAGGCCCTCAGGATTTACAATCACTGCATACTCGCACAAACACATATATATACAAGACCACAATCCTTCCAAACTTCTGCAGCGCATTTTCAGCATCACCTTCTATAATCAGCTGGAAGGAAGAAAATGCTCAATGCTAGTCATATTCCACAGTAGATGGCTGCAACTTTTTTGACTAGTTTTGCTCTTAAAAAGTTTGGTCGAAAGTTTGATAAACATAAGGTTACATTTCAACGGATGACTGGCCTAATGAATTCTTTGAATCCTGCAGTTTAAAGATTTCTACCATCATAAAGAGTCAACAGCAAAAGTAGCAATTTCAAATCAATTGTGATTCACGTTTAGTAAAAGATGTCTCGCCTTCCCAATCGAGAGAGCTCCGGTTCTTCAAGCAGCATATCCTGTAGAGGTCTTACTGTCCTGTCCCTTGAACTAAAACACAGAAAGGAAATGATTCATTCAGACAATCTCGTAGCAGAAATTAAAGCTTTTTTCCGCCAAGGATTACAAAAGCAAATAATACAGAAGAATCAGGCTTTACAACCATTTCACTTTTATGTGCATCATTGTATTGCATCCACAAGTTAAATAAACAGATCAAAGAGTAACAAGTATATAACCAATGACCAAAACCTGACACTTCAGTATTTAACTGAATTGTTCCTCATCCAATATCATGAAAATATGCATCAACTTCTAGTCTAAACAGCAAATGATGTTCCCTTATATCTATTTGTTAAAGCTCATGCTACACCCATGACAACCAGCAATTTCAACATAGCTACACAGTGTTCATTTGGTAAAGGAACTCGTCCAGCAACTTTAAAGGTCAACCCCAAGAAGAGTCTAACCATCATCACAAGCTTTTGTGTCCACATGAAAACTTTTCTCCAGACTCGTAGATATACAAATATTTTCAAGAAAAAGGAAATTAACATGAAATTATCATTGTCTGAGTTACAAAAACACAATGACTCACTTTCTCAATTCAACCTTGTTTATAAAGGTCCAAATTGAAGATGAAACCATGCAACGTAGAGCTCTGCACACCCACCCACCTTCCCCCAGCCAAACACGTCCTTTCTTTTATACTTTGAAGATGAGTTGGACTAATATCCAGGAAAAATTCCATTCTACATAAACTTATGTACTGGTGGACTAAATGATAAACTATCTGTTTACAAGGAACAAAATGATGGCCAATACAGAGCATACCTATACATGAGATCAAGAGACAGCAGCCTGTGATGAATAGCATAGTCACTACCAATGTAAGTTATAACCAGATTACCAGCATCTGGGTGAGGCCAACTCCTTGATGTAGGAAAACGCAGTACAAAAGTCCCTGGCTCTTGAAAGCCTCCTGGACCTTGAAGAGAGGACTCTGCTTCTTCCTTTGTAATGAACCCTTCTATCCATTTGGGTGACGCAGAACTCCATAGTGCATTTATCCAGACTTGAGACAATGATAAAGCTACTGGGTACAGCCAAAACCACATTTTCTCAAAATGATCCTGTGACACTAACTCCTGACAACCAGAAATTCTCCTAAGAAGTTCCAAATCCTGGGACACAAAAAGGTCAAAATTTTCAGGAGTAATATTTAGAAATTCTCCAATGTGTGTGTGTGTGTGTGAGAGAGAGAGAGAGAGAGAGAGAGAGAGAGAAACCTGGTGTGTTAAAGATCTGGTACCACAGGGCACTATCTTCATAAAATGCTCTTTAACCCCAGAAAGCAAATTCTCCCAAAGAACATGGTCGTTTTTCTGAGATATTAAATTCCATGCTTCAATTCCTTCCTCTATCAATCTTTTTGCAATCATTATCTGATGTCTGGGAAAAACATAAAGTGTTCAATGTAAACTAGAGGCAAAAAAAATTAATATCTATGATGCTTAGTCCTAGACAAAGTTGCTGAAACCCAAAACTAAAAGCAGAACAATCAATTCAAAAAGTTCCCAACAGATTCCTAGTGACTCAAATTAAATTTGACCTTGTTAGTAGAAGAAGTACAGTAGCTACTTTCATGGCATGACAACTCACATTTCTGGTTCGTTTCTGGCACCCCAGAAGTTAAAGTAGGAGCAATCAATGTAATCAGAAGTTAAGTAAATCAATCAAGAAAAACATTTCATAACCCACAAACTCCAACTTCTTCTATAACCACAAGCAAATAGACATAAGCAAATCCATTTTCCTCATATAACTTGATAAGGCAATCTCTTCATGATAGTGGTTCTAGTGCATATGGTTTGTGATTGTGGTTTCTTTCAAATGACGATTTGGCACTTTTCATTCATTTAGTGAGTTGTGTGCTTCCCCATCAAGGTTAGAAAAGGATTTCCAGTACAGTCAATCCGCGTACACTGGAGAGTGAAGGAGGAAAACACTAGATCATGGTTAAATATAACACCCAGAAAAAAAGGAGAAAAAGTGGAGCCTCGAAATCCTAAGTTCTGGCATTGCCATTTTCCTAGCATTAACATATAGACACATTCTAGTGTGCATGAGTATTGATGCTATAGATTAGCATTAGTCAAAGTAACAAGATCTATTACCTGTGGTGGGAACAACCTGAAAATAGAGAAACCTGATCTGCAAACTTCACTAGCTCTTCTTCTCTTGCAGATAAAGCAATTTCCTTCAGCAGAACAGCCCTCTCAGATAGGCCTCCGAGACAGTATTTGAAAACCACCATGTCCGAAAGTTGATTTGTACTACTTGGTATGCTCATCAAATCTGATTTTGTTGTTTCACTAGTCTCTGAATCAGATGAGAAGTTGTCCGATCCATCATGGTTCTCTGGTTTCCTCACCAAATTAGAGCCATATGTATGATTGCCCTAGTTCATACCAAATATCAAAACTAGAATGTCATAACACAATGACCATAACCATAAAAGTAATATCCATCTGAAATTAAAACTACCATCTGCAATGTGTCAACAATAGGAAGGCAAAGCTCAAATAGGATGCAGGCTTTCAAAACTATACTAATCTGAAAGTTGTCTTACACTTATTGTTCCAAATTTGCAGTCTATCACATCAACCTTAACAAAAACAAATAAATACTAGCCGGCAAATTAAATTAAGAAGCCCCAATAACTTATTTGCTAGTAGACTCCTAAGAAGTTATTTTGCCTTTATATCAAGATAAAAGAAGTTGCTACTGAAACTCAAAATACACTGATTAGCTCACAAAATTACATAAAGACTCAAATTCCAGCAGTGTCTTATTACTTTCACCTCTCTTATTTCAAAACTTGTTATATCCACGCATCATCTACATTTTCAGCTTACCTATATTCACACATTGCCTACCTGCAACTAAAGGTCTTAGTTCCATTATGGTTAACTGGTGCTTACTAAACAAAAATAAACCAGGAAATTTTAAGGCTTCGAAGCTACCTCAGTGGTGGTAAAGGCATAAGATTTACATTCTTTGTCAGCTCTCTTGGATGTGAAAGAATCAGCAAAGATTTCAAATGGTTTCTCCTGTCCCAATTTCACCCGCTTTGACGATGGACTTGGTTTTGCTTCACGTACAACACTGTTCAAAAGCTCTGAGGATCTATCATCCAGCCCAGGAGATTGAGATCCATTGAGAAGATGTACTCCAGAAGGTAACTTCTTTAGGGTAATAGAAGATGCTCGGGCATTTCGACTCCGTGAAATACACCGAATTGGAGGAGAGAATGCCTCAAGGAAAGGATATCGAATTTTCGGAATTTCAAACCTGATGCGGAAAAGCCTATTATCACACTTGGATGATAGCTGAGAAGGAAACATGTCACCAAGTCATTGATTATTTCAAGAAAATTGTACAGAACCTAGAAACCATTGATTCAGAAATGTTAAAATATGTCTGCAATTATGTAGAGTGAATATTTTGGAGCAGGAAAAGCTTGAAAGAGACTTTGTACTTGATTAGAGTCCCAGAAGGGAAAAAAGGTGCATCCAGTGTTTGACACCGTTAAAAATATCTGCAAAAAGATATCTAACCTCAGAAACAATATATCACACAAACCTGAGACATCTTAAGTTTAAAAGAAGCACGCCCACTGATTAGTTTGCTAGGTCTATCAGAAGAAGCATATTCAATTCCATCATAGCTCGTAAGAAGGGGAGCTTCTCCATCATTGGTCTCTGGAACAGGTTCATTGTTGTCGGCATACAAAAGTGAAGCAACAACCTTGAAGACAACAAAAGCAAGAGCATCAGAA